CTTTACACATTCCCCAAGACAAAGGGCTTTCTGTGCAGCTTGCTTTTGGGTTCTTATACCAGCCACCCCAAGGAGCAGCTCAGAGTGGGAAGAGACCAGAGGAGGATGTACTGGCGTTAGAGGTACAAATGCCATGGCTTTGCTTGGATGGCAGTTGGTCTGCAATGCTACGCTTTATGGTCGCAGAGGAGATTGAACAATGGCTTAGTAAATTCACACACCATCATTCCTGGCTTGCTGTCACCTGTGAGGAGAGACAAGTGGCAGATGGTGAGTTCTGGCTGTGAAGGGGGGATTTGGGGTGTGTATGGGAATCCTCCCCCCAAAATAAATTTCCCTCATGTAAGTACTGAGTGGAAAAGTATACTCTGCCTTCCTCTGCTTTATGCTTGTCAGGATTGCCTGTTATATTTATTTTGTAAAAAGCACACAGCTCATTTCCCTATTGTTGCATGTTATTGTATCTGGCCAGGTAGACAGCACTTTGTGAGTCTGTTCTCCAACATGAATGAGGTAGTATCTGGGGAAGAAAGAGAAAGTTCAACAGGAAAATTTCCTCTGAGTTTGAGGAACTCCCCTGCCAGGGGATGCTGCTTGTTCGTCTTTCTCAGTCTCTGTCCCTGGGGAGTGGTGAGCTGTGTGTATTCTAGTTTGTTCTCTCTCTAGACAACATCTTTATTTACTTCCTTTATAGCACTTTAGCATGTTAGGACCAGAAACAGGGCCTGGCTAGCCAACCGAAGTGCTCTCCTACTGAAAGAGATAAAGAGACAAGTAACATGCTTAGTGTCAGCAGCGGTGGTGGAGCTGGGACCCTTGTCCTGGCTCCTGGGGCAGTCTTTTCCACTGGTCAGCCACCTTCTCATACTGGCACGGGAGCCTCAGTTGGCCTCTGGCCATCTCCCTGGTGTCTGTGCCCATTTTAAATGTGCCTGTATGCCACCACAGCTGTGAGCACCCCAGGGCCAAGGGCAGGTTCATCCTGGACCTGCACAGACTGGCCCAGAGCACCAGGAGGAGACGCTAGTGAACATGTGTTCAAGGAATGACTATATGACTGTATTTTGGTGCTGGTACCTTGTGGGCACTCCCAAATGTGAGTACCCATCCTCCACTCCCACCACTTTATTTGTTTGTGCTCACCTTGCACTTTGGGCTTTCCTCTCCTCAAGAAGAGCAGATGGGCACCAAGGCCTCTGGGGCACATGATGCTGCCAAGTAGGCAGAGCCTGCATACTCCATGCCTATGTTACTCCCAGGCCAGGTCCTGAAAACCCATTTAAGGACCAGCAGGATGAAGTCGGGTGGGGTGAGGGCTCTGATACTTGTAGATGAAGTTGTGGTGAGGGTAAGATTTTTAATTCGTGTATTAAATGTATTTGGGGAGCTTTCAATTTTGTTTAAGATCATGATGAAAGGTCCTGGTGCAGCTGGGTGCCTGGTTCTTGTGCATTCCTGGATGGGGTTTCCACCCAAATTCTGGATAGCTGAATTCTGAGTCACATTGGGATTCTGGTGTGAGAGCTAGAATTTGTGAGACCCAATCTTTGAAAACCAGAAGGTGAGAAAAGTTATGGAAAGATATTTTCTTCTGGCAGTTGTTCCCCTTCCCTCTGCTTTTTTGAGGGTAGACACTCCTTTGCAAAAGAAAACCAAACCACCTGGTATTGATTAGAGTGAGAACGGTTCACTTTGAGCAGAACAGCACGTGGGAGGTTTGGGTACAGCCCCAGCACATTAGATAAATAATTTTGTCAAAGGGGTACGGGCACAGGCTGTGGTTTTGAAATATACATCCACATGTGAATCTCCTCACGAATGATAGGCTGTTTATTAGCAACATCTGTTGATTTGAGAAAAGCAGGGTTTGCATCACAATAAGCTGGAAGGTATATTTCTGTGATGTTATTTCTACCTGAGTGGGTCTTCCTTCCAGAGGAGATGGTCTAGTTATATTTCTCCAAATGGTGCCCACTGTCTAGGGTGAGACTTGTGCCCTCTGTGAGTTCATTGGGTGTGAGGACACAACCATTTAGGCAGGAAGAAAGGCATAACATTACTTTATAATGTGTACTTTTAAAAAGATAACTTATTTATTTGCCATTTTGAAAGTAGGATATATGAGCTAGAAAGTTAGGAAAATACAGTTAGGAAGAGACTGAAAGAGACCATTATTACTCATATTTCCCACATGCAGGACTTTAAAGAAGTTTTGGTCATTAACATTTTAATAGCATCAGTGTAAACTAGGTGCTATTCCGTCTGGCCTGTCATGGAGCTGTGCTTAGTGCTGACATACTTAAAAAACGAGAAGAGTGCAGGACCAGAAATGGATCTTTCAAACTGAACTGCCATCGGTACAGTGGGCCATTCAAGCTAGAGTAGGGGGAGTGGGCAAAAAAACCAACACACACACACACACACACACACCCACACACACACCACCCCCACCTCCACCCCCCTTAGCACCTTTGCTCTAGTGAGATTTTAGTGTGTGGTTTTGATAAATAGGATGAGAAATTCAGGAAGAATTAGTTTTAAGCCTGAAAATAAACTCTGAATTAATAGGTCTTAGGAAGTTTTAGGGAAGATTTGACATGAGTTAGACATGGTAAGGTTTTGGAATTGTTGGGGTCTGTGGCCAATGGGAGACTTCTGCCTTATTTATCTGGATTGGATTCAGAGGTGAGCAAGGGAAGGCCTGTTTTGGGGTACCCCTGGGGCAGTGGGGTATGGTGTGTGGTCCTGGGGCTACTAGCAAGGGTCCTTCTGATATGTGGCTGGGGCCCTGCCACCGCCATTGCATGTCTCTGATATCTCTTTTGAAAACCTCCTTCCTCACGGGTCTATGGGCCTTGGTGGGTACTTTTTTCCCTGGACTTGACGGTGTGCCTTCATGTCGGGATTGGGGCCAGGGGCTGGGGAGTTGTTGAGGGCTGGCACCAGCTGCATTTGATCTCTGATTATGTAATCTCTTGCTAGTCCTAGACGTTAGAGAATGTCTGTGGGGCTTGTTTATTTTAGTCATCAAGTACAGGAGCCCAGAGGAAGCCTGAAGTATGAAATGGCACCAGGTGATGGGCTGGGCTAGCCCTCCTACCTTACTCTCCTGTCTCTTTCAAGGGTATGGTCGGTCACCTTCTAAAAACCTCCTTGGTTTTAGTTAGGATGCAGGTGGTCCATTTGTTCCTGAGCAGTGCCCTCTTCCTGTGAGGGTGCCTCACAGTCATAGGCCAAGCATTTGGGGAAGCAGCATAGAGTGGTGGGCACAGAGCAGACAAGGGCCAGGATCAGGCCCCAAGGCCACCATTCAGAAGTTGAATGACCTCGACCAGTTAGTTAAGCTCTCTGGCTTTGGCTTTCTCTTTTTAAAATGGGGGAATAATATCCATGCCATTCAGTTGTTTATAAAGATTAAAAGGAGATGAAGTATGGAAAGCATCCAGCCCAGTACCTGGTAGCTAGCTATTCTCATATGAAGGTGAAGTGTTCCCAAGGGCAGGTTATGGTAGGTCAGCTCAGCTCTCCAAGACTCCTGTGCATTAGTGGGTTTCTCTGGCTCTCACTACAATTCTCCTTTTAAATAAAAACAACTGTGTACCCTGCTCAGGAGCAGAGATCCCTGCAGAAATCCTGGGCTGACTGGGGCTGCTCCCCTGTGAAGGGCAGGCAGGAGTGATCCTGCCTGCCATCTTCAGAAGTCCCTGGAGTTCTGGTTGAGGTCTTAGTGCTCTTACCCTATCTTCTAGTATGTGCTTCTATTAATTAGTGTAATAAGAGGGAATCCACAAGGTGTCTCTGTGACCATCCTCTCCCTCCTGCTGGCCCGTACCCTGCATCCAGGGAATATCTTGCCCTTCTCAGCCTCTACATGTTTGTTCATGCAGGTCCCCCGCCTGCAGGGCCTGCCGCCCAAACCCCTTTCCTCTCGTTTCTGCCCTATCTCTGAGACGTAGCAGATCCTAGGTCTTCCATGCCCTGTCTAGAGTGCACCTTCATTGGGGTGTCCTGCTGTTCCTTTCCTTTTTGTGGTTTTTCTTCAGCCCCAGTTTGTTAATAGGACCTTATCTTACCCCTCCTAGCGCACAGCACCCTAGCAGGCCTCAAGAAATGCTTGGGTGATTGACAGCACCCCCTCCCCCCATGAGGCACCACTGTGTACGGCGAATTTCAACCTCTTTGACTCTGACCTACATTAAGAAACACATTTTAGACTGTGAACTCAGTAGAGAAAAAAGAGACAGAAGCTCATGTGTACACACAAGGGAAACAAGCTTCACAAGACAATCCTACCTATAGTACCCCTGACACTTCCTTTTCACATCATGTCATTGCATTTTAATGCAGGTTAGGATTTTCCAAATGGATTCACTGTGGTCTGGACTGCAGTTTGAAAACACTGGCTTGGTGAATAGTTGAGTCTGAGGGAGGGGATGGGCTCTGGTTTTCCCTCGGTGTGTGGGTGTCTGTCAGAGGCTTCACTGGGCAGAGCGAGAGCAGCTGGGCAGGGACAGGCAGTCCCTGAGGAGTTTGGGATGGAGCCCCAGGCCTGCAGGGAACTGCTTTGGGAATAGGTGCTCCCTCCCCAGCCTACAGTTTGTTCCAGAGGAGAGAGCCCTGGACTAAGTCAGTACACCTGATTCAAGTCCTGGTTCTACCACTTGGTGGCTGGGAGACTTGAGGCAAATCACTTTACCTTTCTCTGTCTCATAGGGTGTTTCACAGGGTGTTTCATAGGGTAGCTGTGAGGCCTAGGTAAGGAAATGCCTGGAGCACAGCCCTGACCCCTTGGAACCTTGCATTCTGCTTAGTGCCCTGCAGTACAGGGAGCTGACCTTGAGCCCTGGGCCCTTCCCCTCTCTTTTCTCTGTCAGCCTGGATCAAAAGGGAGGTCAGGAGAAACCAGTCACCTGCCCAGAGTTTGGGGTAGAGTTCATCAGTGTGTGACCCTGTCTGAGGTGTGGTGCACCCCTGCCCTGACTTGGCCTGCTCTCTTCCAGCTCTGAAGGATGGCTGCCATGTTGGGGGACGCCATCATGGTGCTCAAAGGCCTTGCCAAGCTGACTGAGGCGGCTGTGGAAACCCACCTGCAGCACTTGGGCCTCGGAGGGGAGCTCATCATGGCGGCCAGGGCCCTACAATCCACAGCTGCAGAGCAGATTGGCATGTTCTTGGGGACGGTGCAGGTAAGGAGGCTGGTTCAGGATGGGTGCCAGTGGGAGGGGAGCTGGACTTGGAGCTCTTGGTGAGATCAGGACACAGCCAGGGTCTCTAGTCTCCTTGTGGCCAGGGCCAGAGAGCCCACTGGTTAGTGTAACCCGCTGTCCTTCTGGGTGGGGCAGGGTCCCTGTGTGAGGCTGCTAGGTGACTCAAGTTTTAGTTAAAGGATGCTTCACAGAGCTGAGAAGAGGCCCAGCACACTTGTTAGATTAGTAATTCACTGGCACTCATTGACTGATGCAAGCATGGGATGCAGAGCTCAAGGGTGAGACCAGGCCCTTTTCTGCCAGGGGGATCTCAGGTAACTGGCCATGCTCCCTCTTCCTGGTCTATGTCCATTTTCTGGGCCTGTGTTGAGGTACTGAAGAGAGGTCTTTTTAATTTGGGAAATTTAAAAAATCACAGAAAAAAGTAATTCTTGCCTGTGTTCTGTGGGAGACAGCTGAAAGGAACCCTACATGCTTCCTTCGCTGAAGCAATTTTTTAATAAGACAAAGCACTTTCTTCCTGTTTATCTGATGTATATTAGTGTTTTTTGTTGGATTGATTTCTGTAAAGAAGTGATGGAAGCCATCCACTGTCTGGGCTCAGTGGGGTCATGGCCAGGTTGGGAAACATGTTTCATTGGATATCACACCTTAGAATGGAGCTGTCGCAGGAGCCTTTGTGTCAGTTGGGTCTCCTCAGGTTTCGAAGGCTTTTCCCGCTATGTCTGCTTCATTTTTCTGCGGGTCGCTGGGTCCTGCTTGTGGGGCTGTGCTCCTTTCCTGGGTGAAAGCTGAGGACAGCTTCACCTCCCGTCTTCCTCTTGTCTCTCATGCTCTTTTGCACCATGGTCCATAGAGCCTCTGTGTTTTACCATCCAAGAGGAAAGTTTTAAGTAAAAGTGAGTGCTGGAGAGGTGATTACAAACAGAGCTTGATATATGGTGTAACACTGCACAGTCCCCAATAACTGTTCCTGAAAGTCCAAGGGGATGGGAAGGCTATGTGCATGGGCACATGTGTATTGGGAGTTATACTGCAGAGGGTGCCCTGCCACCTCTCTCCTTCCATTTCTCTCTCTGGTTGGCTGACCCTTTGGACAGAGGATACTCGAGCTCCTCCAGGCTGAGGCGATCACAGACTTCAGGCTTCTGGTTAGTCTTAGTTTTTGGATTCCCAGCAGGGGAGGCCCTGCTGTTCTCTAAGGGTTCAATGGCAATATGTGACTTGTCTCTCACTCTACACAAATGCCTTTGACTTCTGGAAGTCTTCGTACCCGTGACCTCATCCGAGCCTCACTGCTGTCCTGGAAGAGGGGGCAGGCCTAGATGCCTACCGCATTCTCACATGGGAAACTGAGACTAAGAAGCTTTATGAGAGGCCTGTGATTATTAAGTGGCAGGATCAGAGTCGTGCGCCCTCTTCCCAGTGTAAGACGCTCTGTTCTTGCCCTCCCTCTGTTGAGGTGGGGCTGTGACTCTGGCCATCTTACTTGGTGCCTTTTCTAGTGAGGAGCCATTGTCTTCCTGTTGGATGTTTTTGCCTGTGGAACACTCAGGAGGTATAGTTGCCCAGCTCACTTGGGCCTCCCAGGAGTGAGACAGAGTGGGGAGACCTGGGCAGATCTCCCTGAGAGGTGAGAGGGGCCCCCTGCCTAGTCTCCCACATGCTGTTTCCACAGACAGGCATGGCAATCTTGAGGTGAGTCACTTAGAGGAAGGAGGGAGAGACTGGCCCCCACCATGAAGACGACACTCAGTGGGGCGATGTTCTCCATTGTGTTCCCATTGTCTCCCTCAACACTCAGATTCCTGTGCCTCCCTTCTCTCTGAGGGGATGGAGGGTCAGCTAGATATTGCAGAAACCTCTCCCTCCAGCTCCTCCAGGGATTTGTTCACATCTTCATTCACTAGATACCAAGACTGGTCCCATTGAGACACTGAGTCCCCTTTGCTGCCCATGGGGCCTCACAGCCACCTAAACAGGTTATGGTAGTGCAGGGCCAGGTGGCCATCACAGGAGTCAGGGGGCAGAAGGAGGAGCCTCTGCTGTGGCTCTCAGGGACCCTGCCTTAGTCCTCTCACCCCAGTGCTTCCCGGCCATCTTGAGAGGTACACAGAGAACCCAATACAATTTATTTCTGCTCTGAGAAAAGAGCTATTGGTTGGCCAGCACGGCAGACCTTGGCTTGGGACCCCTGCTCTGTCACTGGCCTGCTGGCGGGCCTTTACCAGATTACTTCAGTTCTCTCAGCCTAAGTTTCCCATTTGTGCAATGAGAGCCATAGCCAAGTCTCTTACCTTGCAATGGAGGCAAGTGCAACATCTTATAAAACTGAGAGTGAGAAGGCTGTGGATCTACTGCCGTGTCTGCAGAGCTGCAGGCGGCACGCTGTGCATTGAATCCACTTCAGTGGAACGGAATCCAGGCCACTGACCTCCCTTCAGGAGTCAGTGCTGTTCCAATTATAGCCTACTCGGCACTATTCCCCTGGTCATGTCTGTGGCCCCCATGTAACTGTGACTGTAGGGAGTCCTATTTTTAGATGAGGAAGTAGCAGAGAAAGGTCAGGAACTCATTCAAGGTCACTCAGCGTTCTAAAGTAGAAAGAACGTGGGCCCAAAGGCCAGGTCTTGATAGTTGTTGAAAGAAAAACGTACCCCCAACTCCCAAGGACAGCCAGGCCAGAGCTGGTTATGGCAAGTCATCCCGTGAGAGCCTCTTAAAGGCATGCCATGGCTGACTGATGCAGCTGTGTTTGTGGTGAGGAACTCGCCTGGAGTGGTGGGGTGTCTACATCTGCATGTTGCCCTTGCCTGTCTGTGGTTAGGCTTTGACTTCTCAAAGGTCTCCTGTCTCTTGCCCTGGTTCACCCTCCCCAAAGCCTTGGAGGCCTGTCCTTAGCCCCGATTAATAGGTGAGGAACTTGCTAGGAGTGGTAGTAACTGGCCTGGTCCTGGCCGGACACCCAGCAGGTCTCAGTGACTGTGTGGCTTGTCTGGGATCATACAGTGGAGCCCTGGCAGAAGCAGGACTGGAATCCGGGGCTCCTGGCTCCAGGGCTGGGAAGGTACTGCTCACCTCCAGAACTGACCACAGGCCTCAGGAGTAATGTGGTATTACCCTCTGGAGGACTGGAGGGCAGGACAGTGGTGGCATGCTGTCTTGTGCAGAGAAGGATGTACAACGGGGGTGGTGGTGGTGGTGGTGGTGGTGGTGGTGGGGATTGCCTCTTGTTCCTCTCATACCGGCTTTTGTTCCCCGCAGGAGCAGGAGAAGCATGAAGAACCTTACATTTCTGAGAGTTTTGATGACCCAGAATCAGAGTTCCACTTCTCAGGGCCAGGGGCCGAGGGAGCCTCTCCAGACTTCTCTGCAGCCTCTTCCCAGGACCAGTCATCATCTCCACCCCAGGATCACGCTGGCAGAAAGGGTCCAGCTACTGCCTACGTTGACAGTGGACCCTTTAGGGAAGCTGGGCTCCCAGGCCAGGCTGCCTCTCCTCTGGGCAGGGCGAATGGGAGGCTCTTTGTAGACAGCAGAGCCCCCTTCTCTCCCACTGGCCTTCAGCAAAGGTTTTACCACCAGGACCAGTCCTCCGTGGGGGGCCTTACGGCCGAGGACATTGAGAAGGCCCGGCAGGCCAAGGCTCGCCCTGAGAGCAAGCCGCACAAGCAGATGGTGCGTCTGGGAGGGCCCCTCTGGAGTGGGCCCTGAGCGGTGGTTCCCACAGTGGTGCTGCTGTCAGGCCCCCTCCAAAGATGGTATGGTCTGGAGGTTTGGGGAACATGAAGGCCTCTTCTTGGTGGTGGAGTATGCTGTCAGGCAGAGCTGCTTTGGTGGAGGAGAAGGGGTGTGAGAGGCAGCATGAACCCCTGAAGGCTGGTCCTGTCCCCATTCGCTGATTTCCTGAGGTCTCTCTCTGTTCTCCCTCTAGCTCAGTGAGCGGGCTCGGGAGAGGAAGGTGCCAGTTACACGGATTGGGCGGCTGGCCAACTTTGGAGGTAAGGTGGCTGTGTGCCCCTGTGCCGCCTCATCTTGCCTGGCGTGCCAGTCATGGCTTAGTGGAGATGGGGCTACCGTGGGGCCAGCGTGGATGTAGAAGAGGGTGGGGCCCATGGGTGTCCTGGGGAGTGTGGTACTAGTTTCTGGGTGTTTCCCACAGGTGGATGATCCAGTTATTGGATTCCACTGTGCCTTAGCTTACCCCTAGGGGTTGGTGTGGCTGATGCCACACTGTGAGTTGCAGCTTTGCTTCTCAGGCCACGCTTGGGGGGCAGTGTCTGCAGCATCAGCTTTCCTACTACTTCAGCCTCCCTTCACTCAACCCCTATGGAGAGTCTGCAGAGGCTCCCTCGGCCCCTGGCCCTGAGAAGTGGGACCCTGGGGTGGGGGGTATGAGCAGCCAGAAGGAGTCTGGGGAGGGGGAGGGGGAGCCTTGGCCTTGGTAGGTGCTTTGCACCATCAGTAGCCTCTTGAACCCTTGCTGACAGCTGCCTGATGCCTGGAGCCATCCTCTGGTGTCTGTGTGCTGGAGGTTTGCCCATAGCCATGATTCAGAGCTGCCCACATTGTTGCCTAAGCAGTTAGCTAATTTCAAGCTTGGAGGTGGCAAGGTGGGAGTAAAGAGGTGCCAGGTCCAGGAAGAATGTGCTATTCTGGCCCCAGAAGTGAGTTCTGGGCTTTCTACCTCTCCCAGAGGTTTTCAAACTGTGGGTTTAATGAGTGTGAAATTAATTTAGTGGGTCAGGACCAGCATTTTAAAAAAACCCTCAAACTAAGTAGAACGGAATTGAATAGAAAAAGATCAGAATTGATATCATAGATGCTTAGAAAGAATTGCAAAAATATTTTTGTTTCAGGGGTAGAAACATACTATTTATGTATGTTCTTCATTGTATTGTGAATATGTGACTTATTGGTGGGTCATTGCCTAAGCAGTTAGAGGTAACACTGCTGGACTTTGTTCTCCTAGGAAACACTTCTAGCCTTTCTTCCTCTCATGAGGGTAAGATGCTTTTGAGGTGTAGACCAACAGGCTTTAGGCTGGTCATTTTTTCAAATACTGCTTCTACCCTGTTCTCTCCCCTCCTCCTGTGACCCCAGTTACACGTGTTAGATCTTTTCCTTTTCCTGTGTGTCTCCTCTCCTCTTTTCTCTGTTTTCCATCCTTTTCTCTGTGCGTCAGTCTTACCTCCTCTGCACTGTAAGGTGAGGGAAACTGGATGTTATGGAAGTGAGCCTTTAACAGATACAGTAGGCACTGTAGAAAACTTACCGAAGGCAGCTGAGCATACTTTGTGCATAGCACTGTGGCGGTTACTGCGACCTTCACCCAGGAATTTCCAGTCCAGAACATTAAGGCAGAAGGAAGGGGAATACTGAGTAAGGGGAATAGGAAGACAGAGCGGAAACAACAGGCGAAGACTAGGAAGACGTGAGGATATTTAGATTCTATTTAGAAAGAATTTTGAAATATAATACTTAAATCAGAGGCTGAGAAAACAGTGGGTCAGGAATGAAGAGTAGAGGGACTGGACCCTTGGGAATCTTACTATTTTTAAAAGATAAAAAGTTAAGAGATCCTCACTCCCCGAAAAATACTTTTTTTTTACAGAATAGTTTATGAGACTCCATAAGAGAGTCAGTAAATGAGAGACAGTAAAATGAGTAGTGTTTTTTGTTAGAAGACAGGCATTGGTTAGGTTGAAATGCAAAGCTGCTGGCTGTTGTTGCGTAATTTCCTGAAGATTCTGATACAACTGGGTGTGCTATTGATATATGAAGAACAGAGCTCTCTCTGGGATCATTATGCCCCTTCTCCTGTGCTTTTGTGTCTTCCCCATATCAGTGGTAAAATTAAAAACAAAGAAACATTGGGTGAATGGGCATAGTTTGGCTATTATTTAATTTTGCCAAGTAAGGACATTTAATACAAAACAAAACCCACCATCAATTATCATTTTATTAATCTTTCTAAAAGGATATTTTAGCAATGCAAAAGTACAAAGGATATGATCCCAAGATAAAGGTTAGTAAATTGAGTAACTGAGTTTTGTGATAGACTCAACTCCATCGTCTTTGTGTCTAGACACTGATAGAGACCCCACTGTGGCTTCCCGGGGGCCTTGCAGAGTCATCCTGCAGCGGTGATGCCATTGGACCCTTTGGCTGGGGCAGGGGTGTCAGGACAGTAGGGGTGAGAGTGTTTATACCTCCTGTAGCAGCAGTATATGCTTTGACCTCCTGGCCTGATGCCCTTTGTTGACTTGTCTAAAGTCAGGTTTCCCCCCTACCAACATTGACCAATAGGGCAGTTGATTTTTATTGAGGTTGTAAAGACTAGAGTTCCTGGGGTTGACAGGGACTGTGTCCAAGGCCTATTTTGCTCTGGCTTCCCCTCGGAGGGTGGCACATAGTCACACTAGTTTCAGTGCCTGACTTCTTGAGGGCACATGCTGTACATGCTTTTTTTCCAGTACCCAGAGTTCCTCCAGGTGCTCGCTCAGGCAGCCAGAAACGTACCCTGTAGGGCCAAGAGAAGTTCCGTGCCCTTGGCAGGGGTGTGGGAGCAAGGTTTCTGCTTTATCAGGAGCAAACTTAAAAAGGGGGTTCTTTGTTTTTCTCTCTTAGAAGCTCTGAGGGCGATTAGGGCAGTTGTTATTTCCAGTTACAGATGAGGAAGCTGAGCCATAGTCACCAATTGCCCAGGTCCAAATGCTTATTTGTCACAGCACTGGGACTAGAGCCAGGAGGCCTCTCTCACAAATGGCAGTGTGAGCCTACTGCCTGTAATTAGTCCCGTCCCCTGCAGCCAGCAGAGGGCCTGTGTTAGGTCTTCCCCTACCCCAGTGGCCCAGTTTTGGGCATGGAGGGCCAGCTCCAGAGAACCTGTGGGAACACACTACAGGGAGCTTCCCCCATCACTCCTTCCTGGTCCCTCGCCTCCTGTGCTGAGGAATGCAGCCCCCTCCCCAGGGCCTCTCTTCTCTAGTGTCTGGGAGTGGTGTGGAGGATGCAAGTGATGGCAGAGGACAGTATCCTTGCCCAGTGCCTTCTTGTCAGACTTCCTTGTGTGCGGACTTTCTCATCAGCTCAGGATTGTTAGATGTGCTAATAGAGAGAGGGCTTAGGTGTCTTGTGCACAGCGAATGCTGTGTGAGTGCCCTGGTGGTCGTCCCATCTGTAGCTGTTTATTTGCCCCCGGCTATCGCACAGAAACTCCCTGAGCTAACTTGCCTGGGGATCCGCAGGCACACGTCCTTACTTATTCCTGCCGAGGCACCTTTCCCCACGCCTCCTCCCTGAAGGTGCTGTTTGTTAGAAGGTGTTTTATTTTTTCCTTTTCTTAATCCCTGGTGCCTATCTGGGCAGAAGCCCAGTGGCTGCTCCAGGAAGGGCCATATTTGGCTCTGATGACCTCCAGAGGGACTTCAGGGAGACAGGGTCCAGCCTAGGCTCCCAGATCACATGAGCAGCCCCCAGCCTGGGAAGCCGGCCCAGTGTGCTCCTGCCTGGGGGAGAGCCCTGTTCCCTCCCCTCCCCCCCACGGCTCCCCCTCTCCATTTCTTGACTGTAAAACCTCTGTTTGTGGGAAATGGGAGATGTCTGGAACTTTCTTGGAAGGTGCTGGCACCTTCTCACAGGCTAGGATAGAGGCCAGGCTGTGAGGGCCGCAGAGCAGGTTCCATGACTGGTTCTCCCCACCGACTGTAGCTAGGCTGGGCCTGAGTATGGATCAGAAAATGGAGAGGTGTGCCATTCTGAGGGCTTCAGGGTGCTGATGTGGGGCCGATGGGCCACAGGCTACAGAGCGAGCGAGTGAGCGTGGGCTCTGGGGTATGCTCACCAGGACCTGGTGAATCTGAGGCAGAGGCACGATCTTCCAATAATTGCCTTCAGGTGTCACCCAGTTCTGAGAGAAGAAAGAGTCCAGTTGGGTTCTGGCCTTCCCTCAACAAAGTTCTGGGAATTTCTTCAAGCTTGGCTGGGTCTAGGTCGGAGGAAGAGCGAGTTTTTTCTCAGTAGAAGCTCTTGAAGCCAAGGTCAGGGCTGCCCAGCTGGCTGGGCCTGCTTTCACTGCCTGAGCTGTCCTAGGAAGCCTGTCCGTTAACAGCACACACGCACCAGTGTCTTCCCAATGGTCAGGCTGGATAACCTCTTAACGCCATCTGTCTCTTTTGTAGGTTTTCTTTAGATTTGATCTAGGCAGAGAAAAATCTAGATGCAGACATTGGTGCAACTTGCTAGAGTTTGAAGGTTAATATTATTTATTTTCCTAAGTCAGATAGTGTGATGGGTGGGGTGGAGGTGGGCAGGAGAGTTAAAGTTTAATTGGAGATGTGGCTTCCAGATCTCTGAAAACAACAGGTGTATACCCCCTACTTTTTTGTCTTTTCAAAATGTCTGGAGTGTCCTGGAGTGGCTCAGTTGGTTGAGCGTCATCCTGTGCACAGAAGGGTTGCTGGTTCGATTCCTGGTCAGGGCATACACCTAGGTTGCAGGCTTGGTCTCCAGTTGGGGTGCATACAGAAGGCAACTGATCGATATTTTCTCACATCGATGTTCCCGTTTCTCTCTCCCTCTCTGTCCCTACCCCACCCCCACCCCCCCTTCCTCTCTCTCAGCATGTCCTCAGGTGAGGATTAAAAAAAAATGTCTGGAATGTCCTCGAGGGTCCCTGGGAAGCTGAGGTGGGGGGGGGAGACGGCTCACGTAGGAGGCCAGTAGGCAGCAGCCCTGCTCCCATGCTAATGACTCTGCCGCCTCCTAGGTCTGGCTGTGGGTCTGGGCTTTGGAGCACTGGCTGAAGTTGCCAAGAAGACCCTCCGCCCTGAGGACACCTCAGGTGAGCTGGACCCTTGACCCTGGGAGGTGGGCCTTTCAGCCCCCATCTTCCACCTGTGTTCTGGGGCCACCTCATGTCCCACCTCTAGGGGCACATTCACCTTGTGAGCTGAGATTTGGGCCCAGCCTCTGCCCATGCTCTCTGGAGCTGCTGGGACAGATCCCACATGGCTCTTCATCTCTGAGGCAAAGGTCATGATACCTCTGTCCCATCTCCCAGAGTCAGCCAGAGGTCAGGTCAGAACACTAGGTCCCCCCAGGAGATATGTCAGCTCATTCCAGTATCTGACACCTCTCCCTTCCATGAGGACTCCCCAGTGACACCCCACTGTCCTGTCCCTGTCGTCCTGGCGGCCAGTTCAGGGCCTGCCAGTCAATGGATGGCCCTTCTTCACCTGCAAGACTGTCTTGTGGGGTTGAGGAACCTCCCAGAGAGAAAGCAATAGCCTGTCCCCACAGGCCCCTGAGCACAGGGGACCCACTATGTGTGTCCTTGGAAGGGGCTAGAGGACAGAGGATTTAGTGAGGGTATTTTTAGTGTTGGTGTGGAGACACTTTGAAAATGAAACCTGGCTTTCTCTGGAATGAGAAGCCAGCCTTCCCTACCCCCTCAACCCCCCCTGCTGTTCTCTGTGCCACCACATCCAAGCAGGGAAGAGTATAGGACTAGCTCCAGCCTTACAGCTTTGTCAGGGAAGTAGTGCCCCTAGTGGAGGTCAAGAGGCCCAGGAACCACAGGACCTGGGGCTCAGGCCAGGGTGGGATGGTCCTGGGCAGCCCCCAAACTCTTCTCCAGCTTTCGGAGCAGACTCTGGGATTCTGTGGCCTGGAGAACCCTGGAAGAGTCTCCTGAGTGGGGGGCATGTCCTTGGTTATTTTCAGAACCAGTCATGCCCAAGCTGGTGACTTAGCTGAGGGTGTGATCTGGGGACCCTTCTTGGCCCAGCCATCCTGGAGTGGCTCTGCCCATGGGCCAAAGCTCCCCTGACGCCCAAGCAGCTTGGTCTCTTCCTGTGGAGCTAGTATCTTTCACCCTCCCAGGATCCCCTGCTGTCTGGCATCCTGGGAATGAGCCTGACCCCTAAGTAAGCCTAACAGGGCTGCCCTGAGATGTTGGCTGATTCGCATGTTGTCTCTGGGGCTTCTCTTGTGCAAACTAAATGGCCCCAGGGCCTCACAGCCCCAGCCTGTGCACCCCACTCTGTCAGAGGCTGGCTGAAGACAGTCCCTGGGGCAGTGGGCAGTGGCCTGCAAGCCACCTCTCCTCCTCCCTCCTTGGGGACCTCCCTCAGTCTTCCAAGTGCTGGACCAGGCTGTTGGTGATGCAGGCTAAAGAAAGTGCCAGGCACCTAACTGGGCTCACAGGACAGTAGGCAGGAAAAGCACCGAATGTCACAGGCTAGAGGACAGTGAAGAGGTTGCTGCGGAGCTTGGGGAGGTCAGAGGGAGCACCAAGCAGGCCTCTCCCCACCTAGGACAAGGGAAGACTTAGTATTTAGGTAGGGCACTGAGCAGAGAGGGTGGTCCTGACCTCTGCCTGGGCCGCAGCACTGGTTGGCAGCAGGACTCAGCCAGCCTCCCTGCAACCCTGTGGAGTCATCACCACGACCCCTCCCACTCCAAGTGTACTGGACAAAGGTCATCTGCATCTCTGAGGTCACTGAGCACTGGTCCCAGGGCCAGTCGGCTGCAGGGAGCTACAGGGGCCTCTGGGCAGAGAGGAGAGGCAGGCACAGTAGGCAAGTGCTGTCCTTGACCCTGAGCTCCCCTCCCTGAGGACGATGCTCTCACTGCAGCCAGCTGGCCCTAGAGTGAATGTGTAGTGACTTCAGGGGTGCTGGTGACCTTTGTCCAGTACATTGGAGTGGGAGGTGGCAAGGGACAATGACTTGGCAGTCCTCCTCACCTGGGGCGCTGTGGATTGGGTTCCTCCAGGTCCCTCCCTCCTAGTGTCTGTCCCCCACCTCCAGCTGACTGACCTTCAGAGTGCCCTCTCCAGGCCCTAGAGACTGTGTGTATATGTGGTGGTGCGGTGCTGGGGTCAAGCCTGGGGAGACCTAGTTGTTCCTGAAGGGCCTCTGAGGCATCAGGGAGGTGGGTGTGGAACACAAAGTTAAAATAGCACTTTGGGTTTTATGGACTATCAGATTCCGTATTGGACTTTTTCGAATCACACTTAACCCCCCCCCCCCC